AAGAGAAGGGAAGAGAAGGGAAGGGTAGGGAAGAGAGAGGAAGAGAAGGGAAGGGAAGGGAGGGGGGAGGAGAGGGATACAGGGGAGATGTTTCCAATTCTCCAGAGCCTTGGAGAGGAAGAGCTTTTATTTCCAGGCAGGCCCAGTGAGTGGCTTCAGAGTCATTCACCCCTTTCCTCTCCAAGAACGACCTTTCCTGTTTCCTTCTCTGGGAGTGAGCTCAGCCTGAGCCCCGATGTAAGCATCTGGGCCCAGCTGGAGGAAGCAGGGCCCAGTCACCAGCCCACAGCCAGACTCACCTGGCCCTGGACGTCAGCATTGCCAACGCACGGTGCCAGCCTGTGTCATGAGACACTGGGGTTGGAAGGCGACAGAAAGACGCCAGAACAGTTCCAGTTCCAGGTAGAAGAACCATGTTGAAATGAGCCAAGTGTGACCAGCGCCAGTGGCTCACGCCTGTCATCCCTGCTACTCAGGAGGCTGAGATCTGAGGATCACGGTTCGAGGCCAGCCCAGGCAGGAAAGTCTGTGAGACTCTTACCTCCCATGAACCACCAGAAAACCGGAAGTGGCGCTTTGGCTCAAGTGGTAGAGCGCTCGCCTTGAGCTGAAGAGCTGAGGGACAGCGCCCAGGCCCAAGGAAGTGAGCCAAAGGTCCTGAGTCTCTGCACACTCCTGCTTGAGAGTGGGGGTGGGGGGAAGGAACCCCATTCCTGAGCGCTGAATGCTGGATTCTAGACTTCTCTTCAGCCTTCCATCAGGGCCTTTAGCAATGGAGTTCGAAGCCAGCCCAGGGAAGGAAAGTCTGGGAGACTCTTCTCTCCAATGAACCAGCAAAAACCAAAAAGCTGGGAGTGGAGATGTGGTTCAAGTGGCGTAGCACCAGCCTTGAAAGAAAAAGTTAAGGGATATCACCCAGATCCTGAGTTCAAGCCCCAGTGTCAGTGTACACACACACACACACACACACACACACACACACACACACAGAGGACACATACGAGTTCTTTTTTTTTTTCTTTGGCCCATCATGGGTCTTGAACTCTGGGCCTGGGCGCTGTCCCTCAGCTCTTCGGCTCAAGGTGAGCGCTCTACCACTTGAGCCACAGCGCCACTTCTGGTTTTCTGGTGGTTCATTGGAGAGAAGAGTCTCCTGGACTTTCCTGCCCAGGCTGGCTTCAAACCGTGATCCTCAGATGTCAGCCTCCTCAGTAGCTAGGATGACAGGTGTGAGACACCGCTGCCCAGTTTCTGATCATCTTAAAGCAAACACCCCAAACTCAGGACAGCTCCCTGTGTCCGTACTGTTCCCCAAATGTGGTAACAATTCTCCAAAACTCCTCCAGGGACAGGGACGGGGTGCATGGTCAACCAGGCCTCACCTGCGGCCTGGTGCTGCTGTAACTCCACAGACTTTTCTCACCCCTGTCCCCCAGTTCCCCCTACTGAACTTGAAGCCAATGTCTGCACCCCTGAAGACATCTTACGTGCTGTCTTCCCATGGCCACCAGGGGAAACATCTCTTTTCTCTGCCCTTCATCATGTCTCTGTATTTGGTACATGGGAGCGAGTGGCTGGACCTAACTTGGGGTTCCTGGACTTTGGGGCCTGGCATCTAAAAGCCTAGTTTCTCAACACTCAGGGCAAGGCCTTAGATCCTTGAAGGTCAGATGCCCTCAGACTGCATTGACGCAGCCTGAAGCCAGATTCCTGGCCTAGTTTCCCAGCCACAGGTAACTGACACCCAGCTTCCCTTTCTTCCTCGCCCCCTGACTAACTCCTAAGTAGTTCTTTAGTCTTAGCTGGGACTCTTCCTCCTCCAGGAAGCCTTCTCTGATTGACTTCCTGTCCCAGACACCTGGAGGCTTAGGCCCCGCCTCTGCCCTGAGCTCCTGGGGATGCCTGTACTTTCCTTCGGGGAACTCATTCTGGCCTCCTCTGAGTAGGAGGTGGAAGGAGGCTGACCACACCCCCCAGGCTCCCTGGAGGGAGGAATCTGACCAATCAGGATTTCCAATTCCCCTCCAGCCATTGCTAAGCCAGGTCCTGGAAGGTGTTCCAAGAACCTGCTGGGCTAGAGGTGTTTGGAAAGAGGCGATGCTTATCTGAGAGTTGCTGGCTGGGAAAACTATGGGCCTCCAGCTACTTCCTGCCAGCGCAGAAATAGCTCCTGGGACGTGTAGCTCCAAGCAAAGATAAGCCTGGGGTTAGGAAGGGGCAGATTTCTCTTGAAGCACCTGCACCCAGCCGTACCTGAAGCCCACGTTTACTCCCTTCCCTTCCCTTCCTTTCCTCCTCCTCTTCCTTCTTCTCCCCTTGCTCTCTTCTTCTATGACCCCTGTGAATTGGACTAAAATATCTCTCACCATTTAGCTGAAAGCATTCAGACCAACTCTTGTCCTTGGCTGGAATTACAGCGTCCCCCCCCCATCCCCCCAGTACCAGAGGGGGAGGGGGTGGCTCACACCTGGCATCCTAGCTACCCCATGAGGCTGAGATCTGAGGTTGGCACAGTTCAAAGCCAGCCCTGGGAGCAATGTCCCTGAGACTCTTGTCTCCAGTGAACCACCAAAAAGGTGGAAGTGGTGCTGTGGTTCAAGTGGTAGAGCGCTACTCTTGAACACAAAAGCTCAGGGGCAGCATACTCAGGCCCTGTGTGCAAGCCCCAGGACCAACACACACACACACACACACACACACACACACACACACACACACACTGCTGGGCTCATCACTGAAAGTTGTTTTAGGCAGAGGAGTGGCTAGTCAGATCGGTTTGCTGTAATGGAAGCTGGTTCATGTTCCATGCATTTGACTAAGTTGGCCATACTCAGGATGAAAAAAAGGTTAAAAACATAGTAATTTTTTCCTGTCTTGGGGTTTGAACTCAGACGCCTGGGTGCTGTCCCTGAGCCTTTTCTGCTCAAGGATAGTGCTCTACCACTTGAACCAGAGCACCACTTCTGGCTTTTTTTTTCTTAACTGGAGATGAGTCTCACGGACTTTCCTGCCCTGCCTGGCCTCAAACCCTGATCCTCAGATCCCAGCCTCCTGAGTAGGTAGAATGAAAGATTGTGAGCCACCAGCATCTGACTCAAATAATTCTTTGAGAAACAATAATCATTTGTGGACTCAAGAGAGGGTTCACAAGGGAAACTTATGTCTTGTGGCAAACAGCCCCAGGACTGGTACAAAAGAAGAAGAAGAAAAGAAAAAAAACATGAGGCCCTGAGTTCAAAGCCCAGTACTGGCACCAAAAATAAGATTTTTCTCCTGTCCTCATCAGCTTCTGGCTGTAGCTGAGTTCCTGAGTGGGAATATGAGAGGTTCAAGAGAACCGGAAGTGGGGCTGGGAAGGTGGCTCAGTGGTAGAGCGCTTGCCTTGCATGCATGAAGCCCTGGGTTCCATTCCTCAGTACCACATACACAGAAAAAGCCGGAAGTGGTGCTGTGGATCAAGTGGTAGAGTGCTAGCCTTGAACAAAAGAAGCTCAGGGACAGCGCCCAGGCCCTGAGTTCAAGCCTGGGGACTGGCAAAAAAAAAAAAAAAAAGGAACCTGAAGAAACTGGTGGGAATTTAGTATGCTCTAGCCCATGTCACTCCAGAACTGTAAGATAAGGTGTCCTTCTGGAACAATCCCAGGGGTACTTCCCTTTATTTCTTCCCTTTATTTATACATGAAGACTTTGCTCTTTTGAATCTGACTCCCACCCTCTGTTTTGTTTTTGTTGTTTTTGTTTTGCTTTAGGCCTGGGCGCTGTCCCTGAGCTTTTGTGGTCAAGGCTAGTGCTCTACCACTTGAGCCACAGTTTCATTTCTGGCTTTTTGGTGGTTCATTGGACATTAAGATTTTTAAGAGTTTTCTTCCCTGGGCTGGCTTGGAACTGCGATCCTTAGATCCCAGTAGGTGGGATTACAGGCGTGCACCACCAGCACCTGCTTCCTAGGTTTTATTTTGCTTTTTTTGTCAGTACTGGGGCTTGACCTCAGGGCCTAGGCACTGTTCCTGAACTTCTTTTGCTCAAGGGTAGCGCTCTACCCCTTGAGCCACAGCACCACTTCCAGCTTTTTCTGTGTATGTGGGCACTGCGGAATCGAACCCAGGGCCTCATGCATGCAAGATAAGCACTCTACCACTGAGCCGCCTTCCCAGCCCTTTTGCTTTGCTTTTGAAGCCCTGAATCACCAAACTTTGAAGAAGGGGCCGAGGGAAGAAGTCGGAGTAAGTTCAGAGAGACTTCAATGGCCTCCCCCACCAACCCAGCCATCAGGGGGAAGCAGCCCTGTATTTCTGGGTTCTTAGGAGCCTCAAAAAGCTGGGACAAGCAGCAGTGCTGGCAGGAGCCAAATCATGGACCCCAGGGGCAGGAGCCGGGGCGCCAGGGGCTCAGGCCTGTCATCCTCGCTCCTCAGGAGGCTGAGGCCTGAGGATCGTGGTTGGAGGCCAGGCAGGGCAGGAAAAGTCCAAGCACCCAGCAAAAAGCGGGGAGAGGGTGGAGCTGCGACTCAGGTGCTGCAGCCCTGAGTCCAAGTCCCAAAGAGGACAGCTGGGTCCCCAGAAGACAAGAGCACACCCAGTTGGAGGTTGCTGTGCGGCGTTCCCCTCCCGCGCTGGGGCTGCCACCCAACAGCTCCCCGGGGAACCAGGCAGCGGCAGGGGCGGGGCCCTAGCGGCGGGAGGGGCGGGGCCCTAGCGGCGAAGGGGGCGGGGCCCAGCGCGGCGGCAGGGGCAGGGCCCAGCGCGGCAGGAGGGGCGGGGCCCAGCGCGGCGAAGGGGGCGGGGCCCAGCGCGGCGGCAGGGGCGGGGCCCTAGCGGCGGGAGGGGCGGGGCCCAGCGCGGCGGGAGGGGCGGGGCCCAGCGCGGCGAAGGGGGCGGGCCCAGCGCGGCGAAGGGGGCGTGTCCAGAGGGCGGGGCGTTGCCGGCGTCCAATGGCTGCGCAGGACGTCACTTTCCGGCGGCGGCGGCGGTGGCTGCGGCGGCGGCGGCGGCGGCGGCGGCGGCCCGAGGCGGCGGCGGCGGCTCCGGGCTGTGACCCACGCGGCGCGCGGCCCGCCCGGCCTGCGGCGCGGTCCCCGGGCGCGGTGGCACCATGCCCTTTGACCTCCGGAGGTGAGTGCGGCGGCGGCGCGCGCGGGACCCCCCCCCCCCGACCTCCCCTCACCTCACGTGCGAGCTGCACCCCGCGACCCCTGCAGCCCGCGGCCTTCCCGCCCTGCCCCGCCCCCGGGGTCCCCCCTTCACCCCCCACCTGCACCCCAGCGCCCCCACCCCCCAACCTGGAGGACTTAACCTCCCTGCAGGGCCCGGGGCACCCCGTCCTTCTTGGCGGACCCCACCCTGGCTGACAGGTGGGCCCCCCCTCCCTGCACCCCCGGGGGGGCCGCAGCAGCAGCTGGAGAGGCTCAGATTTCCAGAGCCTGAGGCTCCCCCGCCCCCCACCAATGCCCTGACCCCCCACCCCCACTTCCCACAGGCCTGTCCCTATGGAGGCCTGTGTCCAGGCCCTGGTCTTGGTGTCTGCGTGTGGGGGGAACCTTGTGGGGAAAGTGGGGACCCCCCCTCTCCCCCAAGCCTTTGGTAGGGTTCACCCCAGGGGGTCCGGCTGGCTGCCCTGCAGGTCTGTCCTTGGCTTTTTGTTTTTATTTTTTTGCAGTCGCCACAATGGTTGGTGTGGGGGGGCGCCTGCCATGTCTTCGTGGTGGGCTTTGGGGCTGGGCCAGGCGTCTGGGAATCCTGCCTGAGAAAAGGGGGTCACCACTAGCTACTGAGGTGTGCTTTGGACCCCAGGCTTCGTAGGAGGAAGAACTGGATTCGAATGCTGCCTCAACTCCCTTCATCAGAGCGGCCTGGTGGCTTCTAGCAGCTAGAGAGGGGCAGACTCTGGAGTTCGGGTTCTCCCTTCCCCCTACTCAGAACCTTCTAGGCCTCTCAGTTTCTGTCCTCTGCAACAAAGAACTAAAAATAAAGGTTTCCCCACCTGTGGGTGCCCGGAGACACCTCTAGTGTCTGCGTGGTCTGCAGCGGGAAATGTAAGATGCGAGTGGGGGAGGGGCTGCCCATATCTCCCAGGTCTGGAAAATGGGGAACCCACTGCTTCAGTGTGGGTGAAGACAGGGCACCCAAAGTCATGGGGTTCAAGCCTGCTGTTACCCCCTCTGCACAGGGGTGCACTGTGGGGTCTGGGCCTAGCAGAGGTTATGGGCCTAGGACCTTTTGACTAAGCTGACGTGGGTTTCTACCCTGACCTGGGCACCAGTGCCATCTGGCAAATGAATGCCAACTTCCTGCTCCTTCTAGGCAGAACTGAGACTGGCATACCGTTCCTGAGACAAATACCTGCAGACTCTGGGCAGTTTGGAATCAAGAATCCCCACCCCCACCAGGCACCAAAGGGAGTCTTAATTTGGGGGGTGCTAGTACTAGAGCTTGGACTCAGGGCTTTATGCTCTTATTTGATTTTGGTTTTTCACTCCAGGCTGGTGCTCTACCATTTGAACCACATCTCCACTTCCTGCTTTTTGGTGGTTCATAGGGAAGGACTCTCATGGACTTTCCTACTCAGGGCTGGCTTTGAACTGTGATCCTCAGATCTCAGCCTCCGGAGTAGCTAGGATGATATGTGCAAGCCTCTAGCACTGGTTAGGTGGCAGCAGCCCTGATAAATGTTTGTGCCAAGAGACTTGTGCCACCATTCAGGGTGCCACAAAGCCTCCTCTTCCTGGGGCTGACATTGATGGTTCCTGCCCCTTCCATGGTCCCCTGTATGCACGCACCAGCCTGGGGCCTGAACTCCGGGCACCGGCCCTGAGGCTTCTTTTGCTCAAGGCTGGCGCTCTACCACTTAAGCCACAGCTCCACTTCTGGGAACATTAAGAGTTTCACAGACTTTCTTGCCCTGGCTGGCTTTGAACTTGGATCCTCAGATCTCAGCCTCTTGAGTAGCTAGGATGATAAGGATGAGCCCTGGGTGCCCTGCTAAGTTCCAGTGTTTTGAGCTCATTGGAGAAGGCCCAGTTTCTTTCTGGTCATTGAATCCATTTGCTCTCCACGTCTTTTGTGTGAGTAGGAGGGTTGGGTAGCGTGGGGTTCAACTTGGAAGTTTTGGGGGCAGTAAGGAAATATCACCATTATTTAGTGCCAGTCCTGGGGTTTGAACTCATGGCCTGTGTGCTGTCTCTGAGATTTTCTCTCAAGGCTAATGCTCTACTACTTGAGCCACAGCTCTACTTTCAACTTTTTTTTTTTTTTTGCTGGTTCATTTGAGATGAGTCTCAAGGACTTTTCTTGCCTGGGCTGGCTTTGAACTGGGCAATCCTCAGATCTCAGCCTCCAGATTAGCTGGGATTTGCAGGTGTGAGCAACCAGTTGTTGGCTGTTGGATATCTAACACACTCTATACTATAATTCATGAATTATGATGTTCCCAGGAGGGAGTGTGAGCTTGCAAGGGTAAGGATTTGTTTCTGATTTATTCAAGGTTGTGTTTCTGGTCCCTCAGAAAGTGCTTGGGCCAAAGTGGCCCCTTGCAAATGTCTTGTGGGTCTGAGGGAGCCAGAGGGACTATGTGATCAGGTCCTCCAGCACTCCCTTTAGTACCGGTGTCATTGTCATCAGCAATTGGTGGAGAATTCTGCATTCTTTTCTTTTTTCCCTGCTGGGATCTAAGCTAGGATCTCAGGCATTCATAGTAAGAATTACCATTGATGGACCCGGCAGGCTCTCTTCTCTCCCTTTGCCCTTGAATTTCCTTCCTCCTTTTTTTCCCCACTTTGTTCATTTGTGCTGGTACTGGGGCTTGAACTTGGGGACTTTGTGCTCTTGCTTTATTTGTTGTTGTTTCTGCTCAAAGCTTGGTGCTGTACCACTTGGTCCACACAGCTCCACTTCCAGCTTTTTGCTAGTTCATTGGAGATAAGTGCCTCGTGGACTTTTTCTGCCCAGGCTGGCTTTAAACTGTGATTCTCTGAGTATCCTGAGTAGCCAAGATTATAGGTGTGCACTACTGAACCTGGCTGAATTTGTCCTTTCTAAGTTGGCTTTTTTATTTTATTTACATACTTTTTTAATTGAAGGTGAAGCCGGAACTGGCTGGGGAGACATCCTGTTTCCTTTCCTCTTGTTCAGTGATTACTGATAGCTGGAAGTTGGCACCTGGTAGAACTGGCCATGTGACCCAGATCCTGGGGGGTGTGGTCCTGAGTTCCGGCTGCCCTGCGGGCCACTGGCACCTGCCATACCCCTCCCCTTGTGGGCAGGGCAAGAGGACAGCCCTGGGGTTGTCTCTGGGTTCCCTGGAGCCCGAGCCCAGCTCACGCCTGTTATCCTAGCTACTCAGGAGGCTGAGATCTGAGGATCAGGGTTCAAAGCCAGCCCAGGGAAGGAAAGTCCAGGAGACTCTTATCTCCAATAAATCACCAGAAAACAGGAAATGGCTTTGTAGCTCAAGTGGTAGAGCGCTCACCTTGAGTGGAAGAGCGCAGGGACAGCGCCCAGGCCCAGAGTTCAAGCCCCATGACCGACCAAAAGAAAAAAAGGAGGTGCAGCAGCGGCCGGCTTCAGCAGCCCCCTCTGCAGTGGAGACCCCAGGACCCGGAAGTGCCCCTCCCCGCAGGGGGCGGGGCTGATCTGGACGGTGGCAAGGTTAGGTGACATGTCCCCCAGGGTAGAGAGGGCAAGGTGGCCATGTTGTGGGGTTCGGTGTGAAAGGAAGATGTGGAGCCCCCTATTAAGAATTTTGGGGGTGCTCACAGCAGAATGGCGGGCACATTGGAGCCCCTCTGTGTTTGGGACCCGGTGTGACAGAGCAGGTGGCTGGCCTGTAACGCGGGCTGCCTTCTAAGTGGTATCTCCCCCTTTCAGAAAGACCCAGATCGCCCCCCATTCTCAGTACCCACCCCCACAAGCTAGCTTTGTTGTCTTCAGCCAGCAGTTGGGTCACAATGCTCCCAGAATCAAGCCTGCGTGGCTTGTGACCCCTCCAACTCCCCCATAGGCCCCACACCAGGCAAGGCTCAGCCAGGACAGGGGACCGTGAGCATGGTCACCCTCAGACTAACCAGTGGGAAGGCCTGCTATTTATTTACGTGTGTGTGTGTGTGTGTGTGTGTGTGTGTGTGTGAGATGGCTATGGGCCTTGAACTCAGGGCCTGGGAGCTTTTTTTGCTTAAGGCTGATCTCTACCACTTGAGCTACAGCTCCACAGCTCTTTGCAGATTAATTAGAGATGAGTCTCCACTAGCTTCGAACTGTAATCCTCAGATCTCAGCCTCCTGGGTAGTTAGGATTGCAGGTGTGAGCCACCAGTCCCTGGCTTTTCTTTTTTTCTTTCTTTTTTTTTTTTGGCTAGTCCCAGGGCTTGAACTTAGGGCCTGGGCATTGTCCTTGAGCCTTTTTTTTTTTTTCTGGTCGGTTGTGGGGTTTGAACCCTGGTCCTGGGTGCTGTCCCTGAGCCCTTCAGCTCAAGGCAAGCGCTCTACCATGTGAGCCACAGCGCCACTTCTGGTTTTCTGGTGGTTTATTGGAGATCAGAGTCTCATAGACTTTCCTGCCTGGGCTGGCTTTGAATCATGATCCTCAGATCATGAGTAGATGGGATTACAAATGTGAGCCACTGGTGCCTGGCTCCCTGAATTTCTTTTGCTCAAGGCTAGCCCTTTACCACTTGAGCCACAGCACCACTTCTAGCTTTTTCTGTGTATGTGCTACTGAGGACTCGAACCCAGAGTTTCAAGCATTCTACCATTAAACCACATTAAAACTAACTTCCTTCCTTCCTTCCTTCCTTCCTTCCTTCCTTCCTTCCTTCCTTCCTTCCTTCCTTCCTTCCTTCCTTCCTTCGCTGAAGATTGTACTCGGGGCCTCACCTCCTAGGCCAATACTCTACCCAGCCCTTAGTATTTTGAGATCGATTCTTACTAAGTCATCCAAGCTAGCCTGGAACTCTCTGTTCTTCTGCTTTCACTTCCCAAGTAGCTGGGCTTACAGGTGTGCACTACCACGCCTGCTGGGGGTCTGCCGTTTCTGTTACTGTCCTTGCTCTTTCTGGGAACTTACCGGCCTTGCAACATCTGTGTTGTGCGCGGGAGTCTGAGCCTGTACTCTGGCAGGCT